GTATAACATAGTTAATGGCCTTTATAGTGAGATAGTAATCATTAGCTAAGTTTAACCACTTAGTATTCCCATTAAACTATAACCGTTAATCCTCGAAGCGAGATACGTATGTATAGATCTATACAGGTTGACACCCCAACATGGGGTTGCTAGCTACAACCTCGACGGATCAATCGAAGCGTGATAATTATCTTTAGTTTAACTATGACGTCCAATGAAGCGTCGTAAGGGATTATAACTAGTCACAAAGCTCGGTTATAGGACTCACTATAGGAATTAACCGGACTCCTTAACTAGAAACCACGAAATTGGTTTCTCTGTTTATCAAGCATTTTAAGTATGGATTGACTTATGGTTTAACTCTTTATCAAGCATTTTAAGTATGGATTTACTGATGGTTTAACTCTTTATCAAACATTTTAGTATGGATTTACTTATGGTTTAGTTGTTTATCAAGCATTTTTTGTATGGTTTTACTTATGGTTTTTCTATTTATCAAGCATTTAAAGTATGAGTTTACTTATCGTTGATCACTTTATCAAACATTTTAATTATGGATTTGCTTATGGTTTATCTCTTTAACAAATATTTAAAGTATAGATATATTTATGATCTAAACTTTTATCAAACATGGTTTTAACGACAAAATGAATACTTTTAGACTTCTATAGTATCATTATTGCGGTTAGTAAAAAAGTTGTAACTCTCACCAATCTTTGTGGTGACCCTTTTTTAGTATCATTATTTGCACATCATAGTTCTTTTTTTCTTTTTTTGCCGTAAAAAAAAGTTTTTTTTATATATTTTTTATTTTATATTGTTATTTTAAATAAATTTTCTTTATATATATATTTTTAAATTTTATTAAGAAGCTCTCTCATTCTCTCTCTCCCCCCAATAAGCGGTGTAGTTAGTTGATTATTAATCTTTATATATGCAATTAATAAAATTATGTTAATAGTCATTTGGATGGGATCTAATTTTTTTTTTTTTTTTTTTTTTGCATTATTAATAACGTCACACAAAAACATATATACAACTATTTTGTTTATCAAGCATTGTGTACAGTAAATAAAAATTACAATTTTCATTTACTAATGTCTTGTTAAAAATATTCATTGTAACATTTGTTTGAAAGTATAAGCTATTCGAGAATTATGGTAAAAGATGGCAAAAGATGTTGACCACATGCACTGACACTTAGGGGGTGTTTGGCTTAGTTTTTCATATGTCAAAAGAACTTTTAGTAAAAGATCAAAGCCAAAAGATGTTTGACAAAAGACTTTTAAAAGCAACTTGTGGATTTTGAATAGAAGAAAAATCAACTTTTTGGAAAAGTCAGAAAACCTGACTTTTTGTAACTTTTTGGAAAATGACTTTTGACCACTAAGAAGCTAAGCCAAACACCCCCTTACTCTTTTTTTATTTTTTTATGAATGCCTTTGGAATAACACTTTTGAGTGATTGAAGCTAATTGAAGCAAACTACAAGCAAAGTGACATAATACATTCTAACTCTAATTATTCTTTCTTAATTACATATATTAACAAATGAATAACTTACATATTTGATTAATTGATTATTTTTGTATTTGTTTATTAGATGTGAGACTCGTGTATTATATGAGATTGTTTAAAAAAAATTAAATATGAAATTCTAAACATTTGAAAATTTTGAATTTATAAGACAAGTAAAAAAATATTGAATTAGTTTTATTAAAATGTTTTTTTCTTTTTTAAATTTAAACAAAATCATTTTTATTTATTAGAAATAACAAAATTTGTATGGCACGATGCATTAGAAGATAGCAAATGACAAAATCATTTTTATTTATTAGAAGATAGCAAATGACAAAATCATTTTTATTTATTAGAAATGATTGTAATATTAATATTAAATACCTATTAGAAATGATTCTTATATTAATATTAAATAACTTCCATTTCAATTACACCCATTTGATTTGTGAAGATGTTTATTTAACATATTTTACTTACTGAGTTTTATATTAGATCAATGTCATTTTGAGATATGAATTTCTCTAACAATTTTTTTATTTATAATATTTTGTTTTTTCAAAATTTACGTAATGATTTTGACAAGTTAACCTAAATGTTTTTGGGAAATTAAGTAATATAACTTATAAAAATGAGATTTTAAAATAAAATAACATTTTTTCTAGTTTTTGAAAAATAATTATTTTCTTTCGAATTTTGAATTCCGAACTACTATTGATATTCAAATCTTTTTTTTTTCAATTTTTTTTTTAAAATCTATTTACTAATATCCAAAATGTATATTTTGAGGTGTCTAAACGAGAGTATACTCTCAAATGCTCGATTCCAAATTTGATTTTCAAATTTTAGAACTATTTTTTGTTTTTTTTACAATTTTTTTGAAAGAAATATCCTCATTTACATATGAAATATTCATTTCAAAGTGTTTAATGTCACGGTTTTCATAAAATGTCAGATTTAATGTATTGATATTGTATATACTTCACATTTACTATAATTATTTAACTTTTTCTTAAATTTAAATAAAAACAATATTTTTCTCAAAATTCCAAAATTGGTCATCGGATTTCGAACTTGTTTTTGAAAGTCCGAAGTTTTTTTTTTCTTCCAAAATCTGAAATTTCAGTACGGGATCCAGAATTCAGGAATGTCGATCTGAAATGTACTTTTTGTCAGAAAAATGGTTTTTGTTTCTAAAACAATGTTTTTGCTATTGTTTTTTTTTTTGAAAGGAACTTCCCTGATGAGGGTTCCAGGCCAGTTTCGTGCACCGACTAATATCTCACTGCAAACATGATGCTATGTTTCATGACCTGGAGTTACTACTAACGAACCTCCATTGTCAAATGGGTTGAGTAGTGCTAGGATTTGAACATGGATCAATAGGTTATCGACAATATCTTCTACATGCATTACCAACTCACCACAATTCAAATGGTTCTTCAAATTCCAATGTTTTTATAGCTTTTAACACTTAATAATTAGTATTAATAATACAAATTTTTATCTATGTTATATAGAATGGTGCAATATATTTTGGTATACGGTTTTACGAATAATGTAGTGCAGAGTTTTTGGAGCGATATATAATGCAAAACTCTACCGGAACTACTTGTATTTTAAAAAATAAAAAAATCGCATCATCGGTTATTTATACCTCTAAATATATTTGTATCTCTTTGATATTGTGATTTGGGAGGCTAGCTCTTAATATTTAAGGGTAAACTTAAACTATTTAGCAACTGCTTTTAACAATTAAGTTGGGGGCTTAATGGTGTATGGTTATCAGTCTATACATAAAAGTAGGTTGGCATGGCAAGAAATAAACTAGATAGCGTCACCAAAGCCCAAATATATATATTGGGCTGACTGTCAGTCTAACTTGGTTGATTGGGTCGGAAAGAAATAAAATATTAAGGAAATCTTCTGTATGGATCTCCAGGCAGTATCCCAGGGAACATGGAAAAGAAAACATTATTTTATTGAAAGGTTGTACCCTTGAGATCTTTGAGCAAAAGCAATACCTCGATAGAAAAAACAACAAATCGGACTAACTCCCATCTATAAAAAGCATCAAGTACTTATCGAACAAGTAGCATCATTTTCTTTCTCTATATCCTCAAGCAATTTTCCTCCAACCTTAAATAACATCTAACTTAGGCATCAAAGAGAAATATCGGGGTCCAACACTCTGTATGGCTTTCTAAACTAGATTTTGTCTATCTTATGCAACATGACTTTCTAAGTGCTCATTAGAAAAGGTCCCCAAAGACCGGCTAGCAACCACTACAAGAAAAGGTAGAAGTAACTACGGAAATTTGCTACCGAATCATAATATGTAGTTATTATGTTATGGAATATACTACGGAATTGTAATAACCCAAAAAAACAAGATAAAATTATTCGCTTTAAAACAAGAGTTACATTCAATAAATTGTTCCAAAATCACTTCATAACAACAACGTCAAATCATCAGAGTAACAATATCAATAAGTGAAAAATGGTGAGGGGAGAGTGATGTGCCGTCACGTCAGGCCCTTTCCCTTAGTAGCGGAAGTACCTTAAACATAAACATAAATTGTAATCATAAAGATTAGTGAGCTTCCCCAAAGTACCATATACATGTACAAATAAAACAGCATGTGGTTATGTCGGGTCCGTATCAACCCTCGGGTCCATAATGACTCTATATAACAACTTGTAGCTGTGTCGGACCATATCAACCCCCGAGCCCATAATGATTCCGAGCTATATACATAAATCATATAAACATATAAGCATGAGTCACAAAGAATACAAGCACGTGCAGGCATAAAGAAAAAGGTTCACAAAGACAAACATCATCCTACAAACATAATCCAGTGCGCAAGAATTGGTCTCTTCGACCCACGGGTACAGTGAAAAAACTCACCTCAGCCAGCGGATAAGTAACTAGGTGCTCGGATGCAAAATTGGAAAACCCCTCACTAACACAACGAATAACCCTAAGCAAAATTAGGTTATAAACCATAATCATGGGTCTATATCCCAAAACCAAAGTTCTAGGATACAAGTCCATTTTATCCTTCCCATAATGGGCTTGTCCAAAACTTAGCCCAATAACAAAATAATGACCCTTAAAGCCTAATAATGCCCAACTAATCATGAAAGAAACCTAAACAAATACCAAGAATTTCAAATATGGCAGTTTTTCCCAAAATACCCCCGCCTATTTTTGTCCTAGATTTTGTGTTTATGAAAAAAAAAAAAGTTGGTGTGGTGATTAATAAGGTTTAAGCTTTGTGACTGCACCAAAGCAACTGAGAGAGGAATTGAAGAAGAGGTAACTAAGAACTGGAAAATTTGACTTGTTCACAAAGTCTTTCAAGTATAACTAAAACATATGCAAAAATAGAACAAATGCAGGTCTTTGTTCATCAAAAACTATAAAGCAAAACATGAACTAGAATTGAAAAAACAACTAAGAGATTAATCCAACTTACACTAATCATGAAAGAAACCTAATGCAATACGGTTATTGACAAATAGAATCCTAAGCAAATACCAAGAACTTAAAATATGGTAGTTTTACTCAAAATACCGCCAACTATTTTTTTCCCAGATTGTGTTTATGAAACAAAAGTGGGTGTACGTACCGAACATCAAAAGGATAGTACTTTCCTAATACTCCAAATCCAACAACCAAATTTGGATCAAAATACTTGTGTAGTATTCTACGGTGTCTTAAACCATCTTTTTCCGTATGTTGTTTCAACTCAACACCATGGTTGGTGGGAACCGATCTTTCCAGCTTTAGAGTCACCGGAAACCCAAGAACACTAACAACATGCAACAACACGAGACACAATAATGTCGAAGAAACCATTGGTCGTACAAAAAGGGAAACTGGCATTTCTTCCGCTATATCAGCTACCAATGAATCAACACTACACTTACGACATATTTATAGATGGTGGTTAAAAATGGGTACCGATTGTGTGTTTAAGACGAACTCTAACTCTTTCGGAGAAAGCACAGTTGTGATTGGACGAATATCTTAAAGGTTAAGGTATCCCCTCAGACTTTTAACGCTTTACCTTTTCACCAATCCCTTTTTGTTTTTTACAAGATATATAACACAAGATGCAACTAAATTTTTATTAGAAAAAGACTAAGCAGGCAATATAAGATAAAGATAAAGAAACAACCAATATATCACTTATGTTTCTCATATCATTCAAGTCCATATGCCACCTGTAAATGTATATGGAAAGAAATTAGAAACAAATGGTGTTTATTTTGATTTAGTATGGTAAAAGATATATACATGTTTCCTTTTGACTTAATAAATAAATAAAAAGAAAATAAAAACTTACGTTGATTTCACAAGTGGAGTGAAGACTAGATCGGGCATGATGGGTGTACCAAAAACCAAAATCATACCTCCATCACCACCAGACGGACAACGTGAAAAGGAATTGGGTGCAATCCCTTGAGATGAAAGCTAGGAAATCACAGACATACTTTGTCTGCCCAATCCCATAATCCCATCAACTGTTTTGTCAGTTTGACTCAGCCGTCCTGTTTCGGACGTGCTACAGTTGTTCATGCATGATTCACTAAATCATCCATCTTATTTAAAGAGAACGAAAGAAAGAAGAGAAATGAAATTCTATAGTTGATGATAAATCAGAACTTACCCAAATAAAACCGAATCTGAAGTGTTCAAAAAATCTGACTCGCCAACAACTATTTTAAAATGCATCAAGTCGGATACATAATAACCTGATGTTCCACTACCATCTCCATAGTAGAGATCGTAGGTGCATTGGTTATCTGAACATTAGTTGGATTTTGGAGAACATCTTTCGTCCGAACATAAGATAGGAGAAGTTGTGGAGGAGCTTGCAGGATCATAGATAGTAATAGGAATTTGTTCAAAGAAAGAAAAATCATACATATAGTAGCAATACTAGTTCATAAAAAAAAAAGTCACACCGTATAAGAAATGATCAGAAACTACTTATAGTGTGGATGATGTAGGGTAAGATTGGCAGGGTTTGCAACCTACCCACAACAAGTCGCTTCCTGTATCAATTACTACATAGTATTCTTTTGGGGGGGAATCCTAGCTTGATTTTTGTGTAGTACAAGCTACAAGTTAACCAAATTACAAGATGTTAAGGAATTGAAGCACAGGTGACTAAGAACTGGAAAAATTGACTTGTTCATAAAGTCTTTCAAGTATAACTAAAACATATGCAAGAATAGAACAAGTGCAAGTCTTTGTTCATCAAAAACTATAAAGCAAAACGTGAACTAGAATTGAAAAAACAACTAAGAGATTAATCCAATTGATAATAATCATGAAAGAAACCTAATGCAATACGGTTATTGACAAATAGAATCCTAAATAAATACCAAGAATTAAAAATTTGGCAGTTTTTCCCAAAATACCCCCAACTATTTTTGTCCTAGATTTTATGTTTTATGAAACAAAAGTTGGTGTGGTGATTAATAAGGCTTAATCGTTGTGACTGCACCACAGCAACAGAGAGAGGAATTGAAGAACAGGTAACTAAGAACTGGAAAAATTGACTTGTTCACAAAGTCTTTCAAGTATAACTAAAACATATGCAAGAATAGAACATGTGCAAGTCTTTGCTCATCAAAAACTATAAAGCAAAACGTGAACTAGAATTGAAAAAACAACTAAGAGACTAGTCCAATTTATACTAATCATGAAAGAAACCTAATGCAATACGGTTATTGACAAATAGAATCCTAAACAAATACAAAGAACTTAAAATATGGCAGTTTTTCCCAAAATACCCCCGACTATTTTTGTCCCAGATTTTATGTTTATGAAACAAAAGTTGTTGTACATCCCCAACATCAAAAGGATCGTACGTTCCTAATACTCCAAATCCAACAACCACATTTGGATAAGAATACTTGTGTAGTATTCTACGGTGTCTTAAACCATCTCTTTTCGTATGTTGTTTCAACTCAACGCCATGGTTGGTGGGAAACGATCTTTCCAGCTTTAGAGTCACCGGAAACCCAAGAACACCAACAGCATGCAGCAACACGGGACACAACAATGTCAAAGTAACCATTGGTCGTATAGAAAGGGAAATGGGCATCTTTTTAAATCGGGCATTTCTTCCGCTATCAGCTACCAATGAATCAACACTACACTTTTGTAGTGTTGATTCATTGGTAGCTGAGTTAGCGGAAGAAATACTTGATATAAAAAGATGTCAATTTCCCTTTTTGTACGACCAATGGTTACTTCGACATTGTTGTGTCTCGTGCTGCTACATGCCGTTGGTGTTCTTGGGTTTCCAACGACTCTAAAGCTGGAAAGATTGTTTCCTACCAACCATGGCGTTGAGTTGAAACAACATACGGAAAGAGATGGTTTAAGATACCGTAGCATACTACACAAGTATTTTGATCCAAATGTGGTTGTTGGATTTGGAGTATTAGGAACATACGCTCCTTTTGATGTTGGGTACGTACACCAACTTTTGTTCCATAAACACAAAATCTGGGACAAAAATTGTCAGCGATATTTTGGGTAAAACTGTCATATTTTAAGTTCTTGGTATTTGCTTAGGATTCTATTTGTCAATAACCGTATTGCATTAGGTTTCTTTCATGATTAGTATAAATTGCATTAATCTCTTACTTGTTTCTTCAATTATGGTTCACGTTTTGCTTTATAGTTTTTGATGAACAAAGACGTCCATTTGTTCTATTCTTGCATATATTTTAGTTATACTTGAAATACTTTTTGAACAAGTCAATTTTGTAGGGTTTTGAACATTCTAACACTCCTATGGTATACATGCAACCCTAAATACCTTGGATCTATGTTTTCTCTATTATACATGCAAATATCAATTTCCAAGGTATTTATCCTAACTAGCATATTATGAAGTACAAGTAATATAGAAATCTAGTAGAATTACATACCTCTTTGTTGGTGCTTGATTCCGTGTAGCTTGAGAGCCTAGTGCGCCAAGTGTGACACCTCAAATGGTTCACACAACACCATAAGCACTTGGAATAACTTAGAGAGAAATTAGTACACTCCTAAATTTAGCTTGCCCTCTATGTAATCCACTACTGCCATTTTCCCACAAAAGAGATCATTATATAGTGTGTTATAATTAGGGTAAACCCTAATTGTCATGCCTTTCCATTTCCTTGGATCCATGGGTTCAAATACACCATGGAGCATCCATGGAGCATCTTATGGGTTTTAGCCCAACTTGATAATCCATTGAGCATTAGCCCACTATATAAGTATGGATGATTTACACAATCAATCCATATATTTAATTAGTCTTCTTTTCATAAATTAATTAATTCTAGATTTATTCTTGATCAATACTAATTAAATAATCTTATTAATATATTATAACTTATAATATATTAATAAACCTTAAGTGTTATTTCTCTCATTTTAGTCTATCCAAATGCATGATGTCATGCAACCCAAATGGACCATGCCGGGTTGGGTCAAGTCTTACCAATTATAGTTATGGACTTAGACATTAATCCAACAGTCTCCTACTTGGATAAGTCTAAAACTATTATTGTAAGTACGACTTCATAACCCGACTAGCAATCGTAGCTCTCAAAAGCCGTTGTCGAACTCTGAACAAATCAATGACGCGTCCATTAGATAAGTGATCACATATTCCTCCATTCTAGATATCATATGGACTAGACATGGATTATAATCATTCTCTCTGTCCATCTGTTGCTTCCCGATTTCCGATTTATGACGACTAACTAATTGAAAAAATCAAATCAGTCCAGACCTGACCGAGCACTTATGTTTTGTCATCACTAAATCATCGAGGGGCCCACAGATATCGCTTTTATCCCTTTGAGGGTAAAAGGAATGGATAAGCTTTGACTCATATGCTTGTACTGATTACTTGTTGAATCATACACAAAGGCACGTTTTATAACGTCGAGTTACCAATGCATTTTCGTGCAATCAATGTATAACCAACTCATAGTCAACAACTCATATCTCTAGGTTTGAAGAATATAAGATATTATCATCTCATGATTCACTCGTGATAAAATCCATGAAGTGATTCAAATGAGCGTGGGTTGAATCCAATACTCAAAACTTATGAGCACTCATGAATGTTATAGCAACCATTGCTATGTCTATTGCACATTAGACAAATCATACAAGCCAGATTCATGACAGTCTTGATTCATATCTACTTCCAACATATGACCGACTGTGGATGGTTTGAATAACTTAGTTTTTTGGGAAGTCAAAACATGAAAAGTGAAACACAAGAATAATACTTAATCCTATATGACCCCAAACTCTTGAGTGTAAATAAAAACCCTTTTATCTAAGCACCATATTGATTACTCATTATTCATGTTTCGATTAATCAACTTAATACTTGAAATAAACAATAGGCATGCCATGCTCCAAGCATGCACACTATGTTTTTCCAATGGTCCTTGTTTTTGTGAAATAGATCAATTGAACATGACTCCAATGATGCTCATTTCACAATCCCATTCCCTTTTGTAAATGTAAGAATACCAAACTCTTGTCATTTACTATAATCTTGTTAGATTCTAAACTCATATGCAATAATCCTATTGTAATGAATATGCACACAAGTCACAAAGACTTGGCAACAGACATTACAAAGTATCTCCAATGGAAAGCAATTCCATGGAAATGAAGTCTCAAATTCAAAGTACATTCTTTGAACATCTTTCTTTGCATTAAGCTCTTTAATCTAGCACAAATTCAAAGAATAACTTCCACCTATGGAAACAATTCCATATTACCATTTTGACCATCACTTCTGAACAAGAGTTGCCTCTTTTAAAAATATATCAATATGGTCCTTACTCTATACTTCTAATTGTCCATGAGCAACCAATCTTTGGTAAACCTCAGATTGTCCTCGACAAGTTGCTTAATCATTTTAGTCATTTCCAGTTCTGTTTCTTTTTCCATCTTAATGCCCTAGGCATTTGGAAAATTTAGACCGGATTATAGCACATGTAATCGAACCTATACCCGAAGCATATGGGACACGATTCATGCTATAAAATTTTAATTTGCCATGTTCTCACAATTCGAACTATGAAGAGGTATGCCGTAATCATAATCGAATTTTGAGAACGCAACATATATAGAATTTCCTTATGTTGAACCATTCCAACATAACATTCTCATATAACCTCGACTAAAGTAGATTAAAATATCAATCTAAGCTTGTAGAATTGGAATGAAGTATAAAATTCTCTCCCTTAATTATAGCAAAACAACTTTTTCAAGGCGAATTGAAACTTTTGTTTTCTATAATTAACATTGCTTACTTGCAACACTTAATATAATAATCATGCTCCCACTAGCATAATGATTATTATCTTACTAGCATAACACTTATGCTCCCACTAGCTTTGACATGTACTTAGAAATCAGCTGGACTTCTAGAAAAACAATACTTTATTGACTTTCTTACAAAAGTTCAGATTTCTGATACTAGATTGCTTTGATAAGACTTTATCAAAACATACACCTTTCCTTAGATAGCTCACATGTTTGTCTAGACCTTTTGCAATTCTCAGTAGTTAGTGTGCCGGTTAACCACACACGCTCCACTAACTATATGAGAATGCAAATATCACAACCGCTATCTGCTTAAAATCTTCTTAGTGAAAGCGTTTCCTCACCATCATTTTCATGAATCGGAGAGAAACCTTATGACATTTAGATTTTATGGTGTATAAGTTCCTATCCATGTGCATTTTTCAAAACCATAATCACAAGACAAGGTTAGTGGCAAATCCAAACACATATGGACTGAACTTGTTCAATCTTAATTTCTTGCCACCCGGCAGTACAAGGGCCTACGATTGCTTCCAGTTTGTTATGCAAACAGTTGAGAACTCTCAGAACTCCAATGCAAATCCAACCTTAACTGGGATGGGCATAGAATATGTCAACACGATAGGTTAAACACCTCAAATTGTGGGCTAGTGATTAACAAATCTCTTGATTAGTTCTTGAACCTATCTTAAGATCTTTTTAAGACTCCCACTGACCTCTTGACATATATGATTCTCTTTGTCAAGAACCATTCCTTGACAAAACAAATATTCAAAAGTTAGTGCGGATTCTTATCAAGTTAAGCACTTCCCATAATTGGACTTAGTTGGTCTTTGTTTTATCCAAAACATCACAACTAACCAATCTCAAATGTACAAGAGTAGGACACCTCTCACTCTACATTTGACAAGTGTTATAAACTTTCTGAAGATTATGTCACTCAAGGCTCAATCGTGGAGTATGACTCTAAGATTTTATTTTGAAGTATGATTTATCTTTTGATTTAACCATTTCAACAATTCATGATTCCTCTCCTTAGCCACACAAATGAACTAAGGTGTCCTTAGAGGATTAATTGTGATATGGATTCATAATCACTAAGATAATCATAAAACAAGATAGTCAAGTACTCTCCCATCTCTTCAGATTGGAGAAACTTTTATCTTTCTGCCTTATTTGATTCTTCTTATTCATACTGTCATACATTGAACCATTCCAATGTTTCAGAATTACACTTAAACTTGTAAGCATAATCATATTTACTAAACTTTAGTAAATCATAACGAATAATCTTATCAACCTTTTTGGTGGACCTGACTAGTGCACAACCTAATGTACCCGATCCTTTAGTCCTTCGCTTGACTCACATGCGAACGTGAACAAGGAATTAGTCTTAATTTACCAAAGATGAAAATTCTCATTCATTACACAATACAACTTGCATGATTCCAAGTTTCTATCCAACTGAAACTTGGGTGATGAGAATGTTTCCTTATTTGATAAATTATGATGCTACCACAAACGAAAGAATCAAATTCATTTTCCAATATTGCTTATCAATGGAAACAATTTTTTCACAAATGCCTTTGTAAGGATACTTAAAATAAATAAAATCAGAACTTTTTCTTTTATTTTAAAACTTTGCGGAAAAACTTATCCTTACAACCCATATGAAAACCTTGTTGTTATCTATTCCTAAGCAATATGTCTCAACTCTTAAGT